CCAGAACGACTGGGATAAGTGGGTTCCCGCGGCTCAGATGGCGTTAAACGGTCGGGTCAATACCTCTATAGGGATGTCCCCATTCTTCGCTATACACGGCTATGAGCCGAAGTCACCAGTTCCCCTCGTTACGGAAGCATATGCGGAAGAGTATCCTCAGCATTCGCCAGAAACCAGGGCAAAGAAATTTGTTACCAAACTACAACAGATTACGGACCTCTGCCAAGCATCAATGGCGACAGCTACGCAGCAACAAGAACGCTTCGCTAACAGACGACGGAACGCGGCAGAACGCTTCGAAGTAGGCGATAAGGTTTGGCTTGACTTACGGAACTACGCGTCAGAGCGACCTAAGAAGAAGTTCGACTGGCTGCACGCTAAGTATACGATAAGCAAGGTACTCGACCCGTACACGGTTGAACTAGCAGACCTCCCGAGGGCTGCTATAATAGGTTCCACGTCGACCAACTCCGGAGAGCGGGGACGGACCCAATGCCTGGTCAGCAACGCACAGACGCTCAACCCCATCTATCCAAGTAGACGGGAGGCTCACCAAGTAGTAGAGGAAATACTATGCGCTAGGTGGAAGAGAACCGGCCGCGGCCGTAGGCGGGAAGTCCTTGTACGCTGGCAAGGTTGGCAAGACCCGACCTGGACCTCTTTAGACAATATGCAACAGACAGCGGCCTTGGATAAGTACGAACAGAGATACGGCCCGGCTCTCGAAAACGATGGACCATACCAGCACCGACGAGTGGCAACGGAAGCACAGCCGGCCCAAATCCAGGGGCAAGTCGAAGGAATACAACCACAGCTGCAGATACAGGGCAAGAGAATACGCGGACCACTACGGGCTAGGACTAATGGCGACGCCCCGTCGATAGTAACGGCACCAGACCCTATAGACGACGGCCTACGATCGTTGTAGGGGACCAGGAACAGGAAAAGGGCACCAGCGCCAGAGAGGAGTAGGGGCTAATGTGGGGCTACGCCCCGATGTGTAGATCTGGCATGGCCAGACTAGTCACGTGCGAGCGCCACGGACACGACTCCTAAAGGGAGCGATGTAGACACGTCTCCCCTTTACACTCTTTGTAGCTCAATTTACATCAATTACGCCCAGCACCTGTGCCAACAGTGCTGACCCCGTAACACGTACAGCTATAAAGGAACGACCTTGTCTATATATTAGGGCCGTGCATAAGCTAGGGGGTATATTAGATGCCACTAGCACCTCTATAAGTTATAGGATCCACGTGCAGTACACTTGCTGGAGTAAACACTTTACTTTTAGTTGCACGCTATATTAGTGGTCTTCTTCTTAAGCAATTAACTCGAGTCTCAGCGGTGGAAGATCCTGGCCTACATGCATTCATGGATCGATACACAATGTATTGTTGCCCCTTGAGTTGTGATAATAAGTGGCGCTATTTGGCATGGTTTACAAAGCATTTGCTGCGTCATCACTCCGAAATACAGTAGCTGAAACAGATGACTCTTTTGGTTTGAAATCGGTCTAGTTGTCTAAAACCGGGTTTTGAGCACACACTGCTACACTTACATTTATCGAGGTTCTTTGCTGTAAGGAGCACAATCACAACAAAACAGAGAGTGAAGAACGGGGGCTAGTAATGCAATTGTTGATCTCTAAAGAAATCCTCCAGCGGGCTGTGGTTATCCCCGCATCCTTATAGGTCCTACCGCGCGTCGCGATCCCCACTTCGGTTTCAGATGACGCAACCCAGGTCTCTAAGCGCGTGACACAGTCCACCCACGTATAGGCCCGCATTTGCGCTAATATCCTCTAGTTCTTTTTTTATTTCGTCAGTTATTTTGCCATAGGGAAGCGGGACTGGTAAAATAATGCGACGTAGTCTAGTCGGAAATAATAGAGTTAGGTTTATAAGCTTAGATCCTATCGTAGATATAACGGAGTCGTCTTCCTATTCCTATTCGTTATAATCGTCTAAATTAGCTATTAGGGTAAGAAGCTTAATACTTAGAGAGAGCGAATCCTATAGTCTTATTAACGAGGATTCTAAGTATCCTATAAGGAAGACCTACGGGATATATAGTCTTATTAGCTTACCTAAGGAAGCTATAGCTTTTAAAGATCCCCGAATTTCTAGCAAAGGGGGGTTATAATCCCCGACTAGTAAGTTAGGCCAGGTTTCCGCCTTAATAGTTAAGTCCGTAAGTATATCACGAACTTAATTTAGTGCTTTAGCTATTGTATTAAGTTTAACAATAGCCGTACTAACGGTATCGTTAAGGCCCGGCTAATAAAACCAGTGCCAATGTAGTGTCTAGAGTCTCTAGAGAACCGAGAGGAGTAGATTAGCCCGCGCTTTACGTAGTCTATAAATTTCTAACGATGTTAGCAATAACGGGTTTAGCGTATGCGTAGGCTAGGCGAATTTAGTTAGATTATTAATTGAGAGCGAGAGGCGCTGAATTTTCGGGAGGTAGAATAATAGGAGGATATCGGCCGCGTTGTTAACGTTAGGGTGGCGGTATTCTTATGCCCTAGGGGATAAGGTGGCATGGCGGAGGTGTCGGAACGTAGGTAGCTTATATTCTTCTAATAGCTCGCATAAGGCATACGTGAGCAGTTTCCCTATAAGTTAAGTCTTAATAGTAAAATTAGGACCTAGATATAGCGATGCTAAATTAGGTAGCATTGTTAAGAGGACTGCCACGACGGCGTCGACTATGCTAGATTGCAGCTCGTTTATCTAAAGCCTAGCATATAGTACCCCGGTAGATAGTATGAGTTTAGATGCCTTGCTTATCGAGAGTGTAGGAAGAGGGAATGCGGGTGGCTCCTTGATTTTAGGATTCTCTTTAAATCCCCGACCTATAAGACGTAGAGTGCGAATAAGGCTACGCAGCTCGGGCCTATCGAGAATGCTTCGCAGCAGTAGCGTAACCGGCGGCGTTTGATATAACGCCTAGGCCGTCTCGATAGCTAAGTAGAGATAAGGCTTAGTAAGAGCGCGGATACGTTTGTTAACTATGCTAATAGAGCGCAAGTCGGCGAATAGGACTAAATCTAGAGCAGAGAGGAATAAGTCACTTGGCAAGTCTATAAGGGACTTTGCTACTATCTTTTCTGCTATCTTTTCTCGTCCTATAGAGCGAATTAGTGACCTTCCCTCCTATGCTTAGCCATAAAGCGGCTCATAGGTTAGGAGGAAGAAGGAAAGTTAAGAGAGGTGGCTTGTCGATATGCGGCGATTCGTGCTAGATGGGAAGGTTAAATAGGTACTAGCACGGATTAACTAAGTGAGGATATAGAGGATAGTGATCGAGGTCGCCCTTTGAGCCCTTTATTATGCACACGCCGGAATGACGCTAGTAGCATGATAATACCTTTGCCTAATACGGTTAGACAGGGAAAATTCAATCGTGCGCTGCTCCGGATGTACCGAGAGAAAGGCCGAAAGGGTAAGTGATCCACCAGATCTGCTGATTCGCCGGATTTTGGTCTCTGTCAGAACCAGAGGTTCTAGGTGATCCTAAAATAGGAAAGGCACGACTGTGATGCAGTGGATCAATCGTATTAGGGAAGGCAGGCCTCTTAGGCTTGCAGAGATGTGTGTATTGCGTGTGTGTGTGTGTGTGTGTGTGTGTGTGTGTGTGTGTGTGTCTCACTCAGGGGCGCCCCCGGGGCCCCTTTTTGGGGTCTCTCAGGCTCTCTTGCAATGAGTCATCTTCTTATCTCCCTATCGCACGTGACCCCTGCTCCCGTTGTTCTGACAGTCTCCTTGCATTCCATAAAAAGGCAGGCAGGGGGGCCAACGGGGCCAATGAGGAGGCCGACCGCTACTCCACCAACTACCAACTGCTCCCAAAACGGAAAAGACGGAAGGGGGGGGGGGGGCCAAACGGATGACCTGCCGGGCTCAAGGGAAGAGCGAGCAAAGGCTGGGGGCCGGGGTCCACGTTGATAAGTCCTCTCATCTCTTCGTTCGTTCCTCACCTCGTTCCTCTAGGCAAAACGGGATTTCGGGGGTGAAAAATCAGGCAGTTTTTTTTCCTTTTCCGCGTGCGCTAATAAGTCCTTTTATTCCTCAAGGCATTGTCTTCAGCCACGCAATAATTTCTCGGGCAGGGGGGGTGCTATAACGTTCTTGCATTCTATCTGGAGTTCTATGGCATTGCGTTTTGCAAGAACAAACTAATAAGATGACGGGCCTGCCGTGAAGAGGTCCTGGTCATCGCGTCCACCTGCAAATAGATCCGGGGTCAGATCCGGATGACACGCGGAGGCCCAGGCCCTATGGACAGGCTATTTTCACGGTCCAGAACACTCCGTCTTTTCGTTAGTTACCCAAGTTACATTCGCACATGGATACAATCGCCGCGGTTTTCCTTGCTACCAGAACTTGATAGGACTGAGGGCGCTGTGTGGCAGGCCGCATACGGGAACTTTGCCGTCTTCGCTTCGGCTAAGCTTCCTGCCTCTCTTTATCAGAGATGATCTCCTATTCTGACCGTCGCCTCCGTACGCTAGGTTGCCTCCTGCAGCCCGCTTGTCGCACGCCTGTCTGCTTGCCCGGCCCAAGGATAGCTGACTTACGAGTGGGCTTTCTGCCTGGCCCAGCCTTGCCCACTGCTGCTCGATTACGGCTGGACGGCCGAATTTCCATGATCTCAGGGACAGGCTGTGTCGCATTCTTCGGTCGGCCTCGGAGACATTCTGCGATCATAGGGTCGAGGATTTGGCGGTAGGGATTGTGCGAAGTTGGCTCCCTAAGGTGCCAACGAGGGTGAACGTCCCATTTCGTCAAGGGTGTTGCGATTGAACTTACTTCTATTCAATTCTGTCTGACAGCTCTCAACATACATATATACATAGTGGCACGTCCGTGCCACTATCCAGTGACTTACCACTTGTAACTGCTGCCTAAACATGTCTTGGTCCATGTCTCATATCAAGTCAACAAAGGGCATGCCCGCTTCTAATTTGTTGTAAATTGTATGGCAGCAAGGAATCCCTAGCTGTGCTGAAGGTCGGCAAACGCCTGCAGAGTCCACATGTAGTCATTTCGTTCCAGGGCCTCCGCAATGACCTTCCACTTACATCCACACTTGCGCGATCGTCTTTGGCGGAGACCTGCGCCTCTTGGCATACGAGGTTCGCCGTACCGGTCGCACTGAAACACATATCTCGTCTTCCTGGCTTGGTTGCCGGAGCCATTGCGTCTGATAACACCAAATCCATTATCCTTCGCGAATTCGTTGACATGGAATTGAAAAGCATCGACCGATACCGCGGCAGGGCCAGGGATTGACGGGTTGGGGATAGGAATCCAGGCATCTTGACTGGTAGACGCTGTATCTGACAGGCCGTCCCAGTCCTCGTACTCGTAATCCTCTTGTTCCCGGCTTGGCGGCGGCGAGGGTGACGTTGGTAAGACCGGCGGTGATGATGGGTCTAGGGCTCCTGGAGCAACTCGGAGCGCAGCAGGTGCCGGGCAATGTTGAGCCAATTCGCGAGCTAGTAAATTGTCGAACTGGGCTTGCTCTTGGGCAAAATCTAGGGCAGACCGAAAACGGACCGTGCTTCTCGTACGTTGCTCGGCATCCCCTGAAGTTGCTTGCTCCCGAAGGCGCTCTCTCTCAAGCCTGTCGGGGCCCGGAACCACAGGGGTGAATAACCGCTGCATGCCACCGCCGCGGAAGCAGTCGTCCAGAAAGATTCGCGACTGCCGAAATTCCCAATAGGGCTCATCGACTCCGCGATTACCATGCGGTTTAGGAAGGCTGCTGAAATAGCTCTCCGGCCATGTCGCAAATAAGTTGTATAGGGCGTTGTCGTCGCCATCGCCGTAGTGAAGCTCGGGGTCAAACAAAGGATGGGGTGAGGGTGCCGCGATTGTCATGTCGCTGCTACTATGGTCGCTGAAACGGGCTGCCTGCTAGAGAAGAGTCTTTGCTGTACTGGCGACGGTAAATTTAATGACCACGATACAAACGGCGATGCCGTTAGAATGCCGCCGTGTTTTAACGATTCATACAGTTAAAGACAGGTCATTATTGAGATCTCTGAAAATGGGGAGTCGGCCACTGCCATCGAGGCTATTTCAGCAGGTGCTAAGTTCATCCCGGCCTTCTCACTTCTGTCTGGACATATGTACATAAATTCATGAAAACAGATACGTACCTGGATTAGGCTCTGACGTGGCTATGCGACCTACTTCCACCGGTTACTCAAACGACGCAATTGATCCAGAATGGCTTCAACCTTTTATAAGAGTCGTCAAAGACTCCGAGAAGCTCAAAAAGCCCCTTAATTCTCGATGACCACGGCTCTCAGAATACAAGACAGTCCGTTTCTTACTTCAACAAACATGACACAATTTCCTCTAGTAGGCCTCCGAATTTCACGTATGTGCGGTACCAACCTTAGATGTTATAGTTCTCAGGCAGTGAAGCGCTACCACGCCAAAGCGGTAGATTTTATCATCCGAGACCACCTTGTAAATACAGGCAAACTCGAATTCCTTTCATACATCCTGCGAGTACGACCACAAGCCTTCAAACAGAGTACCCTATTCCCTGGGTGGGTTATAGCTTGTTCACTGATTTCTCCGTGAAGAGTGCTCCCTGTGTCTGTGGTAACCGAACTCCTGGTGAACAACCCGTGTCCTAGGCGGGTTGCGTTTGTTCGGCCTTTACGTGATTGAGGCCTATCCTGCGGCCTGTAGCCTGGGCCGCCCTGTAATAGTGAGTCTATTCCTAACCAATTTACTCTTTAAAAACATAGGGGCTTCTTCACCAACTTGCTTCAAGTAGCTCAAATGGGCAGGTTTAATAATAGGCACTACAATGAACCCCGGGGAAAGTGTTAAGCGGGGCAGCGTAGTTATTAGCACCCCTGGCATAGATTCTAGATTATTAACAAAAGGAGAACTGTTGGTCTACACTGTACTTCGTAGTCCATCCCAAGGTCTAGTGAGACTCGACTAGACTGACCGGTTGTCCTGTACGAGGGTCGCAGACTAACAGTCGAACTATTGGTGGTCCAAAGACTTATTGACATCAAGTTTACTTGGCATCAGGTCTCCAAACTATCGCAACGCCATCGGTGCGTGGACCGATTTCTTACCTCAGGGGACCAGATCAGCGTCCTCTATAAGCCGGGTGTCGAGCAACAATGGTCAAGTAAGCCGATAACTATCCACCTAAGAACATATGTGCGGGGATTTTCGTTATTTGCCTGGACTAAAACCACGACCATGACACATGTGAGACTCGCCCACATTTAAACACGGTTTGCTGGGGGGCTACTAAACATGACAGTGGATCCAGCCGATTGTCGGTAGAGGTCCCACGCAACGTTCTGGGACATTTGTATCGATGTCTTCAAAAGTGTGCAACCTCTCAAGAACAGACTCATTAGCGCGGTTTAATTAATCAACTTGTGGCAGGCTGACCCCCGATCATGCCCATGATTGCTTTGAGAGATCCCTAGAATCAGGGCAATTGGCCGTCGGAATCGCATCTTGAGTCAGGTTCGGCGCGATACCAAACAAACTGCAAAGCCAACAATGGGTCGTGATAGGGGAGTAGATGGTCTTTCCACTTACGTGGATACTCATCGAAAGAACGTGAGCGGAATGTCAAACTCCTCAATTGTCCTTCACGCTCGATCCTGCCAGAAGTCAACCTGGTTTCCCCTGAAGACGTAGAGGGCGGTCATCTGTGGTATATCATCCAAGAGTGGCTCGCTGGAATACGTTTGCCATTTCCAAGCGTTAAAAACGCTCACTGGATCGTCGATATTACGTGCTGTATGCGTAGCTGGCGTTTGTGCTTAGAAATTCAGCCACTAATCGATCTTGAAAACTGAGGGGCTGTCCGAAACTCTATCTGCGAACTTGCGCCAGCGGAATTTTTTTTTCCGCCGAATCGCGCGACGATGAGGCCAAGGGGTAAGGACATCTAAATGTAACCAGGCACTGCCCTTCATCTCGCAGACTTCGCGACGGAAAATACCCAACGCAGTGAAAACCCCAAAAATTCGATCGTGTTGGCCTTCACGACCACCATGACGGCTATAGAGCCGTATTGTCCACGCCGGGGATGGCTAGGGATGGCAAACGGATCGGCTGGTAAACAGAATGCCTCAGATCGACGTCTATTGGACGGCTTTGCTTGTCCCCGTAGGGCTGCAAACGAGAAATGGCAAACGAAGCTCAATGACGAGGGTGAGGCGAGCAATGGCGTCCCCGCTATGTCGGCGAAATGGTTGGCTGGGAGGCGTGCTCGCTTAAGAGCACACCTCCAGTCATCCCGTAAATCCGCCAGGCCCGGACGTCTTTGTCATCTTCACATCACCCCGAAATACAACACCTTTCTTTATCCTCTACGGCCGCCTTCACCATGGTCTGACCCTGCGCCATATATCTCCCCCTACTCGTCCCAGAGCAGCTGCAAGATCGAGGCTTCCAACGCAGCCTGTCGCAGCCCATCACAATGGCACAGAACGGAGGCGAGGCAGAGCTTCGGGCCTGGTATCAAGCCATTTCGCCACTGCGCGTCGACCTTGTCGGAGATTTTGCTGGCAAGGAGCTGTTTGCCATCCATGGCGATTCTCTCTTGCTTCATTGTCTCACCGAAGCGAGGGTCGACTTCACCAGTATGTTGACGTCCGCGATCGCTCTTTTCCTCGTCCTCTTGCGCAATCCACCAGCGTGACAGCTAAGAAACATATGTCGAGGCATATGCAGGCCGCTGACAATGATCAGACGGATTCCAGCTTCTCCACGCCATTCATGCAGTCGAGAGCTTCTTAGCCCGTCTAGAGCAACGTGGATGCAACTTCCACATCCTCTGGTTTCGCGATCACGAGCACCTGTGCGTCCCTGAGGGTGTTTCTGGGGATGCCGCGTCCAACTGCCTTCGTCTGTCGCGCATCATCCTGATCAAGCACCTGGAGCACTACGCCCAATACTCTCGCAAGCCGGCTGGCGACCCGCTCGTGTTTGAATACGACAATGTCGACAGTAATGCGTTCCAGCAGTACCTCGCTCAGAATGCCGTGCAATTCTTTCTGTGTCTCGACGGCTGCGCCCTGGATGGATGCGCGTCACCTACCGGTGTCCAGTATCTCGAGTTCATTCACCACATTGCCTTTCACGGCTACAGCGTCGCTCTTATGAACAGCCTCGATTTTGTGAGCTCCAAGGTCGCTCACCTTCTCCTTCTTTTACGGCACCGTTCTTCCGGCTGGTCCATCTATCCTAATCCCTCCGTGTCCGCTAACGCACCCTAGGTTCTGGTATCGGCCTTTTCACCCTCTTCCTGTGGCAACGAGATTCGAATTGAAAAACCCCGACCGAGTCCAAGGACACAAATCCTGGCCGTCTCCGAACTTGAGCTTGACCTGGGGCTCGAGCCTGGAAGCTGGTCCCCTTGGGCCGATGGGAAGCCGCTCTCGGTCAAGGACGCAATCTCCTTCACTGCTCTCTGCAACATGCTCTTGGTTAACTCCAAAAGGGGCATCAGAGCTTGCGCCGCCGCCTACGTCCTTCACCTCTCTGCCCTGCGACACTGCAGTCTCTCGCAGAGGTCCTGCATGGTGACGACTCTCGACACGCATGAGCAAGAATGTCTCGACGATTTCTTTGCATTCTTCGCCGACATCTGCATCAGCATCGTCGAGAGCCTTCCAATCCAGCAGAGATGGGATGCCTTCGATCTTCTAGACGGTCGAGTCATGCGGCAAATTTTCAAGAACTTGGGATCCCTTGCGCCATCTCCGGGCATAGTCGGCGAGGCACGTAGCTTCGCAGAGCGAATCTATCTCCTAACCCAGGTTGACATCTCCGACTTGATCCCACCAAGCTCTGTCGATAAAGCAGCCGAGACAACGAGCCGAGCTTTCATTCAGTCGGAGAACGGGTCAAACTCGCATGTCATGCCTTTCACTCACCCCGTCCTCGACAAATTCCTAGAGCCTGTTCGTCTCGTCACCGAAGACTCGGTGAAGCCTACCGGAAATCCAAAGGTATTCCAGGAACTTTCTCACTGGCACAACGCAAAGACTCCCATCGATCCTAAACATGAACATCGAAGACCCCCAGGTTTCTTCGCCCAGAGAAGAAACCAGAGATGGATGGCCGATATGATTGCATACTCGGCCAGTTTGACAAATGCGTCGGGCAAAATTATTAACCCGGAGACCATTGTGGCTCGTTCTGACGCAGACACCATTCCCGTCAAGCCTGGCAAAAAGGCACGCTCCGGGGAGGAAAAGTTACCAAAACAGGCGGCTCACCAGCCCCGGGCCAGGAACAAAAATCATCCTGTCAAGGGCGGTCGAGAAAGCGCCGGGCAGAAGCTCAGAGAGTACAGGAGAGAAGATGATCAACAAACTGGACGCAGTGATGGTCTTTGGGACGAGCGCTGCCACGAAATCAAGCCGAGAGGAACCTGATCAAGCGCTTCCTCAAGGCCGACAAGTATCTCGCTTGTTTATCCAAGGAAGATACAGCCATCATCGGAGCCGAAGTGACCCTGTATACCTGCAATATTCTCGCGTCACTGATTCTCGACGAGAAACGAAGAGGCGCTGGGCCATCTGGTAAGCCAAGTCGTGTGGGGATTGCAGACCGAAGCGTTTGCCTGCTTACTGACTTGCATACCAGTGATGAGTTTGTTTGCCATGATGTGGTCGAGGACACTCGAGATTGGCCTTGTACAGCTATCCCCACAGTGTCTCTCGCAGCTCGAGAGTTTCTCAAGGCACTTCACATACCACTTCCGACCACAGTGGCTGCGACTTCTTCAAGGAGCGGGCGCAAACTGCCTTTCCAAGATATTCTGGCAGCGTCGGCGACCGAGACTGAGCTTTCACTCCAACCTTTCGAATTCCAGCTGAAACACTGCGGTCCCTACCTTGAGAGAAGTTTTGATCCGTCTATAGACCCTCGCGTTCCAAACTTTCGACCGGACGCATGGCAGAGAAAGGTTTTAGATGCCATCGATGCCGACAAAAGCCTCCTCGTCGTCGCGCCTACTTCGGCTGGAAAGACTTTCATCTCGTTTTACGCAATGAAAAGGTCCTGCAATCGAGCGACGACGGCATTCTGTGTACGTAGCACCTACCAAGGCTCTTGTCAACCAAATCGCCGCGGAGATCCAGGCGCGGTTCTCCAAGTCGTACACGAATAATGGCAGGTCGGTCTGGGCTATCCATACGAGGGATTACCGCATAAACAACCCAACCGGCTGTCAAATCCTCGTCACCGTCCCGCACATTCTGCAGATCATGCTCCTGGCGCCGTCCAACGCAGAGGGCCACGTCGTGGTCCCGAAGGGTGAGGAGGATTATCTTTGATGAGGTGCACTGCATCGGCCAGGCGGATGACGGCGTGGTATGGGAGCAGTTGCTGTTGCTTGCTCCGTGCCCCATCATTGCGTTGTCGGCAACTGTCGGCAACCCGTTGGAGTTCAAGGCTTGGCTGGAGGCATCCGAAAAAGTCAAAGGCGTCGAGTTGGAGATGATTGTGCACTCCTTGCGCTATTCGGACCTACGCAAGTTTACTTACAGTCCGCCTAACGAGAACTACATCTTTAGGGGGCTTATGGCCGCCGAGGGACTCCAGATTCCGGGACTGGACGAAGGAGATGGGGGACCGTCGCCCTTCTCATTTATCCACCCCGTCGTGGGCCTTGTCAATCGGTATGACTCTCGAGCTGGCGCTTATGTCTTTGTGGGTCGTGCTAATGAGTATTATCAGCAACCGCGGAACTCTTGAGGATATTACTCTTGAACCGAGGGACTGTCTTGCTTTGTGGCGATGCATGTCAAAGCACCAGACGACAAGCTATCCAATGGACGAGGCCCTATCTCCCTTACGTGTCTTTCCAGCCATTGCGAAAAAGCCAGATGTTGTCAGATGGGAAGAGGGTCTGAAAAGGATCCTGGAGGCATGGATGCAAGATCCCCGATCACCGTTCTCTGCTGTGCGAAGCGAACTTGGGTCGGCCTTCTTGGAGCCGGACTCACCTTCTCCAGATGGGGCGTCAGTCGACTCAAGCAGTTTTGGCGTCAACTTCGAGGTCAAGAAGAACATTCTTGACTCGACAGCGCTGCCGCTTTTGACCGACCTTCACCGCCGTGGTGCGCTTCCGGCAATTCTCTTCAATTACGATCGAGATCACTGCGAGAGAACACTTCACACTCTTCAAGATCAGCTCATGCATGCCGAGAGTACCTGGAAGGATTCAAGTCCAGAATGGAAGAAAGCTTGCCGAATATGAGAAATGGAAGAAGGCAAACTCGCAGGCGAATCGGGGTAAGGACAAGACGAACAGTGCTGCCAAGGGCCGTTCTCGAGACGAACCTGAGCTTTCTAAAATCGATTTGATTCGTGAGTCGAGCACAGAAGCCAGCAGGTGGGAGAGCTTTGATCCGGAAGCACCACTTGACTTATTCTCATTTGCGAATCGGACGAGTCTGCTTGACTCTGAGCTTGCGACCTTGGTCGGACGCCTCAGAGACGCAAACTTGGACCCCGGAATCATCAGCGCTCTTCGACGCGGCATCGCCGTGCACCATGCGGGCATGAACCGAGGATATCGGCAAACGTAAGTCATCAGTATCGTCATTGCGAGCCTCTCCAACCGGCCGGCCCTCCATTGAAAGTATAAACTGACCAGGCTTTTGCAGGGTTGAAATGCTCTTCCGCAAAGGATTCTTAACAGTCGTCATTGCAACCGGAACATTAGCCTTGGGGCTCAACATGCCGTGTAAGACGGTTGTCTTCTTCGGCGACTCGATCTTTCTGACCGCGCTCAACTATCTCCAAGGAGCCGGGCGAGCTGGTCGCCGTGGCTTTGACCTTCTCGGAAACGTCGTTTTTACTGGGATGCCACCTAAGCGAGCATTCGAAATCATGTCGTCGAGACTGCCGGACCTTCGCGGCCATTTTCCCATGTCAACAACCTTAGTTCTGCGACTCCTGGGGCTACTACACCATACAGGGAACTCTGAGTATGCCGCGAGCGATGCGCTCTCCTCTCGCAGACACGCTTATACCTAGGTGGGCCGTCGGACCAGATGGCAATTCAGCACCACCTGCGATTTTCAATTGAGTATCTCCGACGACAGCACCTCCTGTCTCGCGACGGCACCCCTCTCAACTTTTCTGGCCTGGTTGGCCACCTCTACTTCACTGAAAATGCCGTCTTTGCGTTCCACTCCCTGTTGAAGGAGGGTTATTTCCATCAGATCTGCAGAGCTATTTATAGCAATCCTGAGGGCGTTCTCCTCAAACTGGTGCTTGTTCTGGCACACTTATTCTGCCGGATACCAGTTCGCAACAGTAGCGATGAATGGATTGCCAGCATCGTCCACAAATCCCCTTCAGTTGTTCTGCTGCCATCGTTGCCGGGCGAGGCGGAAGAGCTTCTCCGTGACCATAATCGAGAAACCCTCGAAATTTTCCGAGCATACGTCAGCACCTTTGTCGAGCAGCACCTCAGTGGATCGCCGGACACGCAGCTCCCTTTCACCGGTTACGAGATCCAGCAGCAGCAACACGAGCAAGATGCGCCCTCGATAATACAAAGCCTGCCACCGACGAAGATTCGATCGTCGTTCGCCGCGCTCTCGGGCTTTACGGATGACTTCAACACGATCCATGAGCTCTGTACAACAGTCCGCAGCGGCGTGTTTCTCGAGGAGTCGGCAATACCGTACATTCGCATTTTTCCCGACGATACCGCAGGTGTCCCATGGAACGCCTACCTCTATGACTTCTTCAAGCACGGCGATCTGACAGCGTTGGTGCGAGACAACGGCATCAAGCGCGGCGATGTTTGGTTTCGTCTTAAGGATTTTTCGCTTATTCTTGCAACCGTTGTCACAAGCCTCACCAACTTTTTAAGTCTCGATCCAGCTGTCGACGATGCCATGATGGTGGATGTGCAAGGCATCGACGACATCATCCAGGAGGACCATGACGAGTTACATAGCTCAACGCCTGGCAATACGGCGAGCAACGCAGTCCCGGACCCGGCCCCCTCTGTCACGGTGAAGAAGACGAGCAAAAGAAACCTGTGTTGGACTCCTGGGAAGATGACAATAGCGACGAGGAGGCGACGAGGGAGCTCCAAAGGCGAGGAGACTTGCACTTGCCGACGGGCAACCCAATCAAATCTACGAATGACTCTTCAGATAGTCCACAGCCACCATCGGAGCCAGCTTGGCAAAGCGATGATGAAGACAGCCTGGTGCGGGTATTGGCAGCATTCCGTAAACTGCAGGAAGAGTTTGACGAAAAGTTCCGGAAGGTGTGGGCATGAGCAGTGGCGACGCATCTCAACCAGTGTAGCAAGCATGTTCGATCGGAACTTGGTGCGGTGAGTCTACCGTATTTAAGGCGATTCGATAGCCTGATTCTATTATTGCATTGAGTCCAAACGCGGAGGTTTATAGCTATAATACCACCCTCTCCATTCGTGTTTACAGTCTTCTATTGGAACAGTGCGTGGGCCGACTCAAACCAGTCTCGTCAGGTCTTTATGCTACTTCGCTTTCCGAAGCCATTTCGGTTTGCTTACCCTTCTGCCCTTCGACAGTCCCTGTTTCTCTGGCCGCAAGACCCAGATAATGGCGCAGCCGACAGGGCTCGCGATCCTCCAAGGGACACTTATAAAGCTTAAGGGAAGCAAGGGTGGGTGAATCAGAGAGGGAGCAGCCTATAAATCTCCAGTTTGGCGGTGTCGATCGCCAGCGATTCTAGTTCGAGCCCCTGCGAGGCATCGACTTGGATGAATATCTCGGGAGAAAATACTGGGTAGTCGGCCCGCAGATCGGAATGTCGAGGTGGCAGCTCGTCCAAGGCCAATTTCTCGGTAAAAACCATGGGTTACAACGCCAGGTGTCGTCAGGTCGTCAATCCAGTCCCGGAGAAAAGCAACCTCGCAGTCAGTAAAGGCACCAAACATAGACACGCCCCATGAAAGCAGATGAATGAGAAAACTGCGTCCGCTTTCGCCTTTGCACACCCATGGCCTGGCGTCTCTTAGGCGCCGCAGGAAGTCCACCTGCCATTCGGTCCGAGAGAACATTGAATGTTTCAGAGTTAAGCCCCGTGCCGAGCAATCAGCCGCCGAATTTTATGGAGCGATCATCATAGATCTGGTTAGGAGCAGTAGCCTGGCTTGAAAGATGGCTAGGACGTCAGCAACAAGCGGGGAGCCGGCTGGTGAGCTTATGTCGGAGGGCAAGTTCTAGGACAGGGTGAACTCGGCCTGCACACGCTTCCACGCTCGGGATTCCGCGGCATCCCTCTACCGGGCCGCGACGGAGAGTAGATACTCTGTGACGATGCGATTCGCCATCGTGGTGTGGCCGGTGTCGGCATTGTCGATGGCGATTGACGCGCGAAAGCCTCACAGTGCTAGCTCACCCCGGCAAAGGTCTTGTCGCAGCCCCTAGGTAGGACTTACGGCGAAATTCTAGGTAAGTACTGAGATGCACGTGCCAATAGTGCACCTGCTACGTGCAGAGCAAAGTAGTAAGGGTCGAACTCAATCTCACGCAGTCGCAGTTCCTTGGCATCCAATAGGCTAGAGTGACGGCCCTGAGAAAGGACAGAAAAAGACATCATGACATCTATCTCCCATCGCCATTTTGGCGTCTCCGTCTCTGTCATGCACCTTTTCGTTCTCGCCATCGTGATTATTCCAGGAAGCAGTCAGGAAGAAGACTGAAAAGATGGTCAATCTAAGCTACTTCGTACTATGTAATTGTAAAGAAACGGTCTCCTCGCCTAGAAATGCCTTGACTTGTCTCCTCGAGGAGCTCGGCCTGCTTTCGGTCTACGAACCGCCTATCGACACAAAACTTATCCTGCTCCAACATTTCGTTTGTATGTTTGGCCTATGGCGGATCCTCACTTGTCTTCGTGTCATACCTACCTGCGCCTGGCATTGCGGATAGCCGTATCGGCCTATTCGTGACATTGACTCTAGTCAGCGATGTCATAGTCAGCCTTATCTCCGGTATCATTAGCAGTGGCTTCAGGCGCAGAAGAATGCTCAGTTAAGAGCCCATTTTGATGTCTATCAGCGGCGTTTTGTTTGTAACCACCGAAATATTACCAGGTTTTGCTCAGAGCCGCAACCATAGGCATCATCAGCCCGTCTGGAACGAGATTGAGCTGTTCGGGGCAATCAAAGGCCAATCCTGGTACACCTTTTGTTGTCGGGGGTACAGATTAGTATATTTGCACATTATTCCATGACTGGCATAATTATAATTACTTTTAGGATGACCAGCTGCAGATGGACTGAGAGCGCTTCTGCGATCAAGCGACGATGGGGCCGCATTGACGCGTACTGCGCCGTGATATTCGTCTGTGGAGGAATAGGCGTCGTACAACTTCTTCTTACGACGTTAGCCAGAGATGCGAGCTCCACGGAGAGACCCAGCCGGCGCCGTGCTCTGGGGAAACCATCCCCTTGTGAAGCGGCCGGGACCCTAATCTAATGAAGAAAACGCCAACAATTCCGTCTGCTCGCTCGGAGTGTCGTCGTCTGGCCGTTACGCTCGCGCTCCTTTTTGGGTTGGATGCATCTGCCACCAGTCTAGTAACCCTTTTATGGACAGCCAATTGCTTCCAACGCAAATTTTTTTTTGCCAGCCGGAGATCTCGGTTCTCTCATCTTTACAACGTTTATTATTTCTACCATCTCTATTCTTTTGGCGGCCAGTTTGGCGCGCTGGTTCGGCAACTTCAACACTATGGTCTACACTCATCTGCCCTCCGCGGTTGACTTCGCCTTCCTCGAAATACTAGGACCCCATATGGCCATAGCTCTTATTTGTCGTTCGTGAGAGTTCCCAGTACATGGAAGGTGCCCGCGAGGCTCATTCCTGGGTGGCATCCTCTTGCCCGATGAGATAACTGCAATCATGGGCGTCATCGACGCGGTCAAACCCAGGGCGTCGAGCTTCGGCTCTATAATTATTCATTACCTTGTAGAGCGAATTCTTGTTTGAGTCGCTTTCATGAAGGCTGGGATCTTGAAGGCTGAATATGACTTTGGCTTGCTGGGGGCATTTTTCAATCAAAAACTAGCGGGGAGCAGGGCAAAGCCTACAGGGTGTTTTAATGTTGCATACAAAACTACTTCTCAAGCGTCTTTAATTGTCCTTTGCAGCTGCTCCCCGATGACGTCTTCCCCTGTGTCTGATCGTCAGAATTCAAGCCGTTGTCGGCCTGGCCATGGGCATCATGTATCGGGCTCTTGGCACGATGAGGGCTGTGATTGAAGAGAGGCTGCAGAGGCTGGAGAGAAGCATGAATGAGCTAACTAGGAGGGAGAGGATTCCTCGCGACTAGTAGACTCCTAAATAAGTGTTGTGTGGGGCTGGCTAAGAGAGGGGGGGAACCCTCACAACAGGAATATATTGTTGACATCCAGCTTCTGCACCTCACTAGTGCCCAGAGGCTTATTATGAAAAATTCGATTGGTTTTAATTCCCGGCCTCCGCTTTTTAACTTACGGATCCTCAACCTTGAGGGCGTGCATTCGTCCAGAAATAAATAACACTCATTTGCCACGTGCCCCTGAGTGCGGACACGGATCTTCGTCTTCAGCTCTCAAGCCGCTACCGACTCCTCAGAAAAATCTCGAAAATATCTTGAACGCACTCAAAAGCAGGAGAGGTTGCCTGTCTTTCGGGTAAATCGGCAATCCACGCAAAACTGGCCACGATCATGATGAGGATGGGACCGGGCGACAGAGACCCGATTGGATGCTGGCTTTTGTAGATGAAGCATTCGCCATCTCACTGGGCATAAAGATGGCACGTTGCTAGAATGCCCAATGAGCCGTCTTCGCCGTTCCCTCGATGTTATCCAGGCAGATAACGACAATGGTCTTCAGTCCTTGATCTTTGGTTGTTCCTTATTAGTTCTTCTTGGCTCGTCCTCATGACTTTGGTTTCTTATAGGCCCAAGTTATCTATCCACCCACTTTCATTAACTGTACACCCAAAAAGTGGATTAACTGTGGCTGACGGCCGAAGAGGGCCGATACCGCCAATTTGTATGCACACATTCTCTACGATAAGTAGAGCCAGGTAGTAACAGTTCTCCTTCAACGATAAGGCACCCAAAATTGAAGCTATTCGTACTGCGCTTTCTATGCTGATGAGACTATTCTTTGGTGTTTACAACAGGCCTCCTTCTTCGAGTGCACTACGTGCCTGATCCGCTTCATCTAACTGTGATTCCAATTGATCCCATACATCCTCAAGGGCGGCATCGTCCGTGAGGCCGGCGACGAAGATGCAGTCTTGGGTCTCCCGCCGTACCGGCTGATCGTCATCATCAGAGACTGGCGTTTGACGCCCGGCGTTGATACGCCCGTTGCATCCGTGTGCCTGCCTCGTACGTATCGCCGTTTTCCTCGATGTGCCGCAGCCCTCGTTCCGTTGAAGTCATCGCGGCCGTTACCGTACCCGTCATCGCCGCTGGTGCCGTTGAGGAGGAGGCAGTCGTATAGCCTCAGCCCGCTCATGCCGTTCAGCGATCTCGTGATGTGACGGATCCCGCCGCGTTGATCTTGACCGCCGTGACTCTTCGAGGTTGAGTGAGCCCTTGGGGCGGCCCTTAGCCCTGATAACTTGTGGCTCGTATGGTGCCCGAGTAGGGCTTGTGCCCTGAGCGCTTGTATCGATCGGAATATACCAAAATGGGTCGAAGTCGTCGAGTGTAAGGGAGGTATTGGTGTTGATAGACTCGAAGATTCGATGGCAGCACGGTAGCCCTCGACTAGTAGCCCAATTACAAGGACATTGACCTGGCGGCGGTTTGGCCCGTTGACTTCGGGGTCTAGAGGATCTTGCGATGCTCATCTATTAGTAGCTTTAACGCATATGACGATACTCGCTCGCGGATCGGCATATACGGCGCCTGTAGGAGAACGTTGATATCTTGTGGAGGTTTCGATTCTCTATCGCTGTGATCTGAGCAGCCTGATGGCCAGAAGCGTTCGAATCGTTGGAAAACGGTCGTCAAATCGCCCGTACAGGACCAAAGGAACTTCTTCATATGAGTGAAGTCCCTCGACGATCGAGGTCGTTGTACGCCCGAAGTGGCGATATTGATTAACGAAACAAGATACAAACTTCTCCTTCCAAGGCGTTAGCCACGTATTGCAACAGTATTGTATAGCTGCAAGCGGGTGGCGGCCTGGTGTCTCAAATTGGCGTAAACGTTCGTTGAAGCTATTCACATCTTGTGACTTGACGATCTCGTTCCACTCTTGTAGAAACGCTTGGAATGCCG